AATAGATTAGTATTTCATCTTCTCTAAGCCAGTGTTCCTGCACCGCAAAAATTGAAGGAGAAATATCGCTTAAAAATATATCAAGTTCATTTATTTTATTTCTAATGGATTGGCAATTTAGGTTTATTAATGATAATTTGAAAGAAGATATGTTTTTAATTTGTTTGCGTTCATAAAATACAAAAATATGGTTTTTACCATGTTTAACACACTCTGTAGAGTGGCAAAACCGTATATTGTTCTAAATTAAGTTTTAATTATCAAGTCACATCTATTCCATACTGTTTTGTTTTTGGTTCACGATATATTTATTTTTGTGGAAAATATGGATTTTTTTTAAAATATTGCAATTTCCAATATTTTTTCTATACGAAGAACTAAGGTTGCTATGGTCCATCCATAGCCTATGAAGAATGACAGGGACAGTTTTGTTGAATCATCCCATACTTGGACAGCTCATATACGGTTTATGACATGTCCAAGTATGGGATGATTCAACAAAACTGTCACTGTCATCCTCCATAGGCTATGAAGGGACCATAGCAACCTTAGTTCTTCGTACAAAAAAAATATTGCACATAAAAAATGTAAAGCTTAAAATACCCTAGGCCACCCTTGTTCAATACACTCGTAAATAAAATTTTTAAATTTTTTGTTTTTTTTTCAATTTAGCATAAAAAGTTAAGTAAGCATATAACATTTTATTATTTTATCTCAGACTGAAATAATAATAAAAAACTATTTTCAGGGGAGCTCCCTTAAGAGGCTATTTTTGCCGTGTAAAGTATTGCACACTATTTTCGGGGCACCCTGTATAAAGAAGTTGATTCTAAGAACAAAACATAAATCTCTTCTGGCTACACAGTGTTTACGGGTCAAAATCAAAGGCATTTTTTAGTTTACTTTTTCTTCGAATAGATTATGTTTTGATCAATGTTTTTTAATATGAAGTTATTGAAATTATTACTGATAAAATCGGGTCAAAAATGTTAAAATTTTTGTATTTTTAATCAGTCTTTAATTGTTGTCAACAAGTGCACTTTTAAATAGTTATTTTTGACTACTAGTTAAAGTTTGACTAATTTAAGATAAGTCACTATCTTTGACTGTTTTTAGGATTAAAAAGTAGGTAACTAATTTGTTTAATCGTTTTTAATTCTTGCGTAGGCATGAATTAGTAAACAATGCTGGTACTAATTCAAGTAGTAACATTTTTTACTATTTCATTTTAAGAGAGTACATTTTACTGAATGATATTTTTAAGATTTTGATTTGAAAATCGTGTTTTTCAATTTTTACTGGTCAAAATTCGGGCAAACATTTTGGGGCATATTTTAAAATAATTAATCACGTCTTTCACTTGTTTGCCATTTGCTGCTTTGCAAACAGAATTTTAAATTCTTACTGGAAAGAACTGAATAATTTGTGAGATAATGTTAATGTTGCTGGGAAATTTGTTACAATTACATCATATACATATACATGCAGTAACTTCATGAAGTGTTGGTTTGTGGTTTTTTAATTCTACCGCAGACAACATTGTGGAAATCACTAATTCCGTCAATGAACTACGAATAACTGTACTATTTTTAGTCTATTAATTTAATACTCAGTATCAAAAAATCGCGGTTTCTTTCGATTGTAAACCGCAAATATGTTAAAACCCTATTGTTATTTATCACTTACCCAAATATGGGCATATGTTTGCATATCGGATGTGGTGCTGCTAATTGGACATGTATTTAATTTTAACTTTAAAAAACATTTTACAATGATTTATTGAACTACTAAAAGTTTGGGAACGATTACCAAAAAATATGTAACCAGTTTTTTAACATGAGAATTTGTGAATCATTATTTTATACAAAAGCAGTTATTCTTAAAATACCCAAGCTGTCCCCAATTTTTCGATTTTTCGATAATTCTAATATTGCATTTTAAAGCAAAAAGATAGTAGTTTCTGAAAAAGAAATATTTTTAATAATACAAGGATAATTCTCGGAATGATTATAATCATTCCGAGAATTATCCTTGTATTATTAAAAATATTTCTTTTTCAGAAACTACTATCTTTTTGCTTTAAAATGCAATATTAGACAAGTAAAGGTTGAGCCATCTGATGGTTTCTTTTTGGAATTACCATTAAAACTGCACCAATAAATATTTTTGGCTTGATTGTAGCTTTATTTAAGAAAGAACTCTCTTAAAATGAATTAGACAAAAATTACTAATTATAAGTCATATTTGACTAATTGTCAAATTCTACCGAATGAAATAGTCAAATTAGTAGACCCAGCTGGGGATTGAACTCGGGTCTCTTACTTGTCAAGCAGATGTCTAATCGCTGCGCCATTGCTACCTTTATAAAAATTTGTTATATCTGACTATAAATAATGTTAATTATATTTTAAAGTTGAATATATTTTTTGTGTTGCTGTTTTGAGCTAATCTTTTTGCATCTTCGTTCGTTTTTATGTGCCATTTATTTGACACTATATCTATAATTTGTTGTTGGCTGCAATAATTAAAAACAATTAAAGAAATTAGTTAATTTTTACTATCAAACATAGTGAATTATCTTAAATTAGTCAACCATTTAAGTAGAAAGTAACTATTTAAAAGTGGAAACAACTATAGGTATTTATTAGTAAACAATGATGGTACTAATTCCAATAGTAGATTTTTGACAGTACAACTTCCGATTATTTATGGAAAATAGTTTTACTTAAATGTCCACTGGGGCTGGCTTGGCAGCATGGGCGCCGGTAGGTAGGACAAGAGGGGGCAATTAAAATACTAGTTACTAGTATTGCTAGTATGCTCCTTAACTATACTAGTAACTAGTATAGTTGAGGAGCATCCGTGCAAAACCGGCTATATCCATTTTAATAAACTGTTGGGAAAATGGAAAAAACTCCCAGTTTACTGGCCTTTATACAGATAAAAAAGATGCACCTTAAATTAAGGTCCTTAATTAATTTTTGTGGGCACAAAACTCAAGATGTATTTTTTTTAACTGTAAAGGCCATTTTCCCAACATTTTATTAAAATGGATATAGCCGGTTTTGCACGCATGCTCCTCAGTTATACAAAAGCACATTTAAATATAAAGAAATTTTAACGGGAATTCCAATAAATAAATTTTTTGTAGCTAGAATTTTTAATCCTATGTGATAATATTTTGCAATTATAGTAATAAAAAATCAAAGGATAAAATATTTTCTTAACATAATCATATTTTAATATTTTAAAATATCAATAATTTTTAAGTTTAATTAAAATAATACCGGGCAGTAAAATGGGTTCTCTCTAAAAATGAATTAGTCAAAAATGACTAATTTTCATAGCAAAAAAGCAGCCACCAATAATTCTCGTCAATAGCAATTTGTATCCCGAACATTTAGCAGTATTTTTTTTTAAAACGTATTTGCATTGCTTAGAAAAGCTAAATTTCTTTTTCGAGAATTAGTGTGGATTTTTTTCTTAATAAAGTATGCTTTTTTCCATTAAGAATACAAACAAAATTATTGCTTAAAACCCTTTAGATATCCTTTGACTTTTTATGACTACCCAATTTTTAAGAAAAATTAAAATTAAAATCAACAAAATTGTACAATCTACCATCTATCTATTATTAAAAAATATTTAAGTTTCGCAAAGTGACCGTAATTCGTATAAGTTTTACTACTTTTAAAACAAATATAGCTTACCTTTAAATTGTATATAAATAAATGTAAAAAACTTCTTTGCAAAATTGGTTAATAATGATACATTGACAAAACTTGTCAAGAGATTTCCATGGTAACGGAAATAACACTAGCATAATTATTATACATGGTTGCCTTGAAAAAAACTTAATAAATCAATAGTTGTATGTAAAGAGGTCTTTTAATAAATCAATCGGCGACATCCACTTGGCCGATATTATTTTATTTACCTAACAGGAAAAAATGTAAAGGTCTAATTAAAGATTATTCACAAACAACCGAATTTTTATCATTTAAAAACAACAGTTATAAATAACCTTAGGAAATCGGGTGATTACTTTTGCACCACCTTGTATAATAACTTGTTTTGTACACTTAATTTAAAATCTTAATTAATAGCAATCATTGCAATAATCTTAAAAAAACACTTGTAAACTTAATTAATAAATCCTTGGGAATACCCAGCTTAAGAACTCCCTAATTTCCTTACGTGATACAAACAAGGATCCCTTTATTTTAGTGAATTCAAAATTTAAAACCCAATCTTACTTTTGTACTTTTGGCAATATTTGGGTCATTTTCAAGAAACACCCGCTTTCAGGAAAATGAAGATCAAAATTTTTTTTTTGCTTAAATTGACTTTTGGTTGAATTTTTATAAATATTTAGAGTTTTGTTTTCTTACATTTAAGACAGGCAGTGCACTTTATTATATATCTCCACTGTGTTACCAATTTGAAAATTTAATTCAATAAAAAAAGTTGTTATAAAAATAATTTGAAATAAAATGTTCACAAACTTTTGACTCCAATTTTTTATTTTATTTTTTATTAAAAATTGTATGCTTTTTTGAAATATTTATGTTAGTTAAGTTACTTTTTAAAAGAAACCATTCCGATTCTTTGTTAAAAAACAATACCATTAATATTTTCTTTTAGTCACTGTATTTGTGAGTTAAACTCTAATTTATAAACAGGTATTACCATATTACAAATCATTTTAAGGATTTTTTTTAACAAAAACTAAAAAAAGTAACGAAATAGACATTGATATCACAACGGATTACTTTTAATAAAAGCGACGGTAAATATCCACTTTGTTGTCGAAAAATTCTATTGCGTTACCCTAAATTCCATTGCGTTTCCGTAATGTAATGTAATGAACTCGGCATCGCAGTGGAAAAAGTTTTGTGAAACCATATAAATAATAATAAGACAGTACAGTCATGAATTACTCTGATTGAGCTTTAGTGCCCTAAAATGAACATAAACATGAAGAATAGTATTTTTCTTACCTTATTTTTATTATTTTTTTTTTGAGTAACTTAGCGGACAAACAATTATTACATTCGCGTTACCCGCACCTGTTCTAACCGATATCTTCTTCCTGATTGAATAAATAAATTCAGCTGGGTAATGTGTACGTCCGAACATCATTTGTTGATCACGTGAGTGCCAAAAAAGTTGCCATATATATGTTTTTTTAAATATTCTATCGGTAACGCGACGGAAGTAACGCAACGGAAAAAATGTCTGGGACATGAGTCAAATTTAAAAATAGTAGATTAAAAATAATTAATTTATAAATAAATTGTTTACTGTATTAACTAAGGATGTTATGGATTGCTATAAAGCAACACAAAGTTCTGGTTATTCAATATTAAAAAAACAAACATGTATATAAGTTTTATAAAACGCTAATGGGACATGCGAAAATGTGTGTTTCACAAGTTTTAAAATTAAAAAAAAAATATTCTGAAATAAAAAAACAAACATTTTCTGAAAGAGTTTACTAAGGGCTTGTTAGGCTTTCTCTTGGTTTTTAAATCAATAAGATCCGATAATTTTTAACAAAGTTATTGGAATTCAAACTTATGGACAGCGGAAGGCGGGTGTTTTTTGAAAACGACCCATTTACCATTAATTTTTTAAAAATTAAACAAGGACTATTTTTTCGTTAGAATTATATTAATTTATCTACTTCTATTGCTTAATATTGTTTTTTTCTTAAATAATAATAAAAATTATTAATTCCCTGCCTACCAACGGGAATAGAAAATTCATTATTCACGTTGTTAGGCATCAGTGATTTGTCAATTTCAATATTCACTGTGATTTGAACCAATCGGGTTTTAAATTGGAAGAAGTTGACTATAACATTTAAAATTGGTAATTATTATTAACTTTTTGTAAATACTTTTTGTGTTTTTAGTTTTTAGTTTTGCTGCCACACATTTCGGTTTTGCGTCAGATTTGAGTAAAACAAAACCAAATTAATTTCTGGAAATTAAAATTATGATAAGCATATTATTATCAAACTTTATTTTTTTTAGTATATGTATAAATCACATAATATAAATGAACAATTAAGCTTTGGATTCATAGTAAAAGTAAGAAACTTGGATTTAAAAAAATACCTAACTATATATAGGTAGTAATAAGTTTTTTTTTATGTAATTTGGTATTTTTTTATAATCACGTTAAGATTTTAGAAGTTATCAACTTATTTGCAATCTGGTATTTTTCCATTTTCTAAAACACAACCACATGCTGTTTCGTTACGAGCCAGGGCACCAAACAATTCACTCGTTTCCAAATTTTTAAAATACAATGTAATTTCTTCAAATTCTATTGCACTGCAGATCATGCCTTGTTGGCAAACTCCTGTACAATCACATTGATAAAGGACTGTAAAATCAGGATGTATCTGAAAAAATGTATTGTAGTTAAAGGCCCTATACAATATAATATATTATGAAAGTATATGTAAGAAACATGATTTGACAATTCGAGATATACATGTACATATATCTATTTAAACAGGCCAAAAAATTTTTACGCGTTAAATTCTTATCCCACCTTAGAATTTCTTCAAACCGTTAACTTGAACAAACCTGTGTTTCCGCTACATTTACACGATTTAAAGCAATTAAATAACTTTTTGGAGAATGAAAAAAATTAAAATATATCTTAACAGGGAATATATTTCGTTATGTAACAAATCAAATATTGAAATAAAGTTTTTGATTTCTTAGGTTCGAATTTTTAACGTCAGGTTATTCTTTTCGCAGCATGCATATTTTTAACATTGAAATAAAAAACAAAATTATTAGGCAGATACCTACTTTTTCCATATTCTTAATAATTGTTGAAGATTTCACCAATCGAGGGAGCGATTTACCACACACAAACTGATGTACATAATTATGATGTTCTTTATATTGTGCATAACCTTGCAAGTTTGTACACGAACAAACAGAAAATATAACTGCGATTGTAAATATCACCAAATGTATACTCATAGTGACTGTTTTATAAAGTTGCTTATGTTCGGGACAAATTTTAACTTAAAACAATTACCACTGTTAACAAACGTTTTATATATAATCCAAAGTGATTCTGTTCTTAATTAAAATTAAGAGGAAAGCATACTTTTTTAATAATTAAGATTAAGTAATTCCTGTAAATTATGTGATAAAGGCTCAAAGGTTAGTCCATAAATTTAATATTTTTTGTTTTGTTTTAAACCAAAACAAAAGTTATACAGGGTTTGACAAAAATGGCACACAATACCAACTATAGGATTACACGTGATATGTTTTTGCTATTGCGAATCAATAGAGACCGAACTTTTAGGCACTTACATTTTTTTAAAAGGCTCCTTAAATGCAAAATATAAACAAAAAAAGCCAAAAAGACTAAAAATGGCATAAAAAAGCAATTTTAAAAAATAAACGCGTTTATTCTAATATAAATAAAAAAACAAATAAAAAAATAATTTTATCACAATTAAATAAGTAAAATTTATAAAAACTATAATATAATAGCCATTTATGTATTAAGGGCATAATAAGGTTTTTATGGTCCGATTCATTGTATATAATATGTTTATAATCTTTATGAGCATTTAGCGTTTTTACTGACACAAAAAGCCGGAGAAGCCTTTTACTTACGACCAAATTTACAAGAAGAAAATAAAACAGTATACTGGATACAACCATTGATCGAACGGTATTCAATAAACTATTGGAAATAATATTTAATGTGCAAAATATTGCTTACTACAGTTCCTGGCATCACTCACTGATGTGACAAAAATATCTATTGCTGTTGTCTAAGTACCCGTCAGGTTTGATTGTATATAATGTACTACTAAGTACATACTATTAGAAATCATATATGATTTATAATAGTAGGTACATTGACCTGCGCATCAATAACTACTGTTTTATTTGCTTCGTTTCAATTTACATACCTTTAGCAGAGTTATTTTATTGGACAAAAAATTCTTGGTGCTCAAAAGATGGTTTAACATATTTTTTCGTAGTTATGCGTGACCTTGAAAATTTCAAAAATAATTGCCTGCGGGGCCATATAGCGTTACATGGGCACGAGCCGCCACTGGTACCTAGCTCTTCAAATAAAAAAAAATAGGATTGATGCACCCTGTATTTGAATTTTTATAACTAGCATTAGCTTTATTGTGCGGTTTAAACAAAATAGGATTTTATTATTTAAACCAAATTTGGTACTTTTATAATTTTAGTTAGGTATTGGCTAATCACGCGATTACCCACAAAAATATACATTTATGGGGTTAAAAATAACAATAATTAAATAATAAATAGATTTATTTACAACAAATAACATTACAATATTATCACATTTTTGATAAACACATAAAAATAAATAAATAATTTAGTTTTTTCAATATTAACTAGTTAACAAAAACAAATTAACGTAAAATACTTTTGGTAAAATAATTCACTTTTAACAATTTCTCCACGAATGCGCCTTACAAATTTTTGTAAAAATATATTTTTTGTGTTGTTTGCTAAATTTCAATTTTTTTAATTTACCCTAAAAAGAAACTTAAAACTGGCACTATATTTGGCAAAACATTCGTGAACGTACAATAAATGGATTACTTTTTAATATCTTTTACATTAATACAATCACAATCGGTTTCGTTAACAGCATGTCCGGTAACAATTTCTTGTGTGCCCAAATAACGAAAATATAACGTCACATTTTCTGTTTTCTTTGGTCCGCAATAAGTGCCCTCTTCGATGCAAACTCCGGTACAATCGCACTTGTAAAGCACGGTTTGCCTTGGATGTAGCTGAAACAATAATTAAATTTTAATGGGACGCTCAACATTACAAAACTATTGGATTATTATTTTTATAAAGCATTTGATGGTGCATACCTAGGTACATACTTAAATAAATTGTTTAATTCTTTTTGGATTAAAATAATGTTTGTTTTATTTTTCATCAGAAGTTGTTATCTCCCAAACCACATATTTTGGTAAGTAGGTCAGTGAAGGCTCGTCAAGGTTGAGTCCGCGTCAATATATCAGGCGAGTTGAACTCGCCTGATATATTGGCGCCGAGTTCACGTCTATTTGTTGCTGCTTCAGGCGGGAGAATTGGAGCTTGGGCTTGCTCTAATTAAGGGTTTTATATCAGATGACTGAAGAAGTGGTGGGTGGCAGTTTGTGTTGCAGTGTGTGTAGAACGGGTGTTTTTGTTTTGATTTAGATTAAATTATTTAAAACTGTTGGTAGTAAACTAGATATAATTTAAAGTCGGGCTCGGACTTCACCGTGAAGTGCTAATAAAACATTTTCTTCATTTTCACTGTGAAAAACTGTTGTTTAATACATTTTCAAGGGATACATTTTGATTTATAATCTGTTTATAAATAACACATACAAACTTGACATTTGACGGTAACACAGATTCCCCTATTGTTTTATAGATGGCGCTCTATACAAATACTTAATTTAAAACATTTTTAGATAATAATAAGTATTTGTCGTAGAAAAAGTATAGTATGCAACTCATTTATAAACTTTTCTAGACACTCATTAATTTAAGCATTTAAGCCTGTCTAAAATGGCGTTTATCCAACTTGATACATAATATACTATTTTAAGTTCCAGATATATATTTTAAAGTTTAAAAAAACTAATTTATGTTTTTGAGTTTCGCATTTGGGTTAAGATTGCTTTGATATTTTCTTTGTTTTTTTTATTTTGTTGAAAATTTATTTAGACAATTTTAAAGGTATATTTAATATAATATATTACATTAGGCTGTGCCAAAAAAAGAATATTTTGTTTTTGTTTTTATTCATGCCATATGTAGCCACTTTTTTATATAAATAAAGTGTAGGTATACCTATAGGTAGGTACCTATAGGTAAACTATTGGTTATAGGTTATAGGTCAAAAAGTTAAAAGGAATTTTATAGTACTATGCTCCACACCCAAAAGTCCCCACTTGATATTTGTATACAAATAATTGAGGTTATGTATCTGTCAGTTTAACACTAATTTGTCTAGAAAAGTTTATATACGAGTTGCATACTATACTTGTTCTACGGCAAATACTTATTATTATCAAAAAATGAATATTTGCATAGAGCGATATTTATAAAAAAATAGAGTAACTCGCGTAACAATTTCTAACTTGCGCGCCAGTCAAAATGTCAAATTTGTAAGTATACCTAAATCGAAATTTATCCCCTGAAAATGGAATCACAACCGTTTATATGATAATAACATTTATAATAATATAATTTTTTTTCTTATTAATACAGAATTACAACCGAAAATGCTAAATATGACAGGTCAAAAAGATGAAAAGATGATATAGAGGCAGTTTTTCACAGTAAAAGTGAAGAGAATGTTTTATGGGAACTTCACGGTAAACCACCGGAAACTTTTAATGCTTTCAATAAAATCTATAGTTTACTGCCGGCAAAATCAAAAGGTTGAGAAACTATTTTATACTTTTTATTTTTGTATAAAGATAATAAAAATTTCCACATTTTTATTTATTAGTACATATTGATTATTTATGATATACCTAATAATAAAATACACGGAAACTTGAAATATTTATCTGTAATCGATAAATCATCATTTACAAGTAAAAACATCCCATTAATTAAAATTTTGTAATTTAACAAATAAAACTTTTTTACCAATTTGGGGGGCTGCTGAATAATATAAATTATCAACAATTAGGAATGGATTTAGAGCGTGCACAGAGGGCCATGGGGGGGGCCGCCACGTTTTTTAGGATAGTAGTTGAACATTATCAAGGGTCAAGTTTATTAATCGCTTATTTTAATAGCGTTAAAACGTGTTTTATAGTTTTTAAAAACTATAAATTTATTGTTTACTTCTTAGTCTTAAAATATAGTTAGTTACGTCCACCATATTAAAATTAGATTGACGTCACGTATTCCGTATTCTTCTCGAGAAACCCTTTTATCCATCAGCAAACCGTATTTTTGACATTTTTTAATATGTTTAAATTGAGTGAGATTGTCTCTATTAAAAAATTATGGTACCAACAGCAACTCTACAAAATATAAAACTCAAGAAGGATGAGTTATTTTTTTCACCAAAGTCATCCAAACTTTTAAATTGCTACTGTACCTAATACTGTAAGAATATAATATATTATTAAAGAATATGAGTATCGTAAAAGTTCCTATTTTTTTAAATGTTTGGAATTCTTATATTAAGAAAATTTGATAGTGAATACTTTTTTAAAAACTTTTTAAACGTTATTAGAAAATTAATTTCTATAGAAATTATATAAAAGAATATATAAAGGAATAAAAATTAATTTTCTAATAACGCTTAAAAAGTTAAAAAAAAAATTAAATTATATTATTAACCAATTTAAACTTTAAAAAAATATTACCATTTCCAAATTTTAAATATACTTAAGTACCTATGTTTTTTATATGCTGCATATAAATTATAAAATTAAATTAATTATTAAAAATAAAACTAAAACTTTGTTAATAATAACTTAATTGGGAAATATTTTAGTGAATCATATATTTCTTGAAGTACCTATGTAAGTATAATTCATAAATTATAATAAAATTTAAATGTTATATATTATTTTTTTACTCCTATTGCATAATATTGACTTTTTTTTTTTTCTACACAAAATGATAACCATTATAACCGCCCGCCTAACAATGGGAATAATGAACTTATTATTTTTGTTGGCATTTGGATTAAACGGGTAATTCCAATTCCAAAAATATCATAATGTGCCATCTGTAAATAATCTAATTTTTCCTTTGCATTATCTCTCACAGTGGCGTGCCCACGGGGGAGGTTTCTGATGTTTAATGGTCAGAATTTTTGAACAAAAAAGAAAAAAAAATATTTTTTTTTTAATTACCTATCTTAGATTTTTTTCTTTCCCCTTTCATACGCCCCCAGACAAAATTCTGGGCACGCCACTAATCTCTCGTATAATAACAGTAGCGGCGTTAGGGTTAAGATTTTCCATATATATTCTTATTATTTGTATTCAACCAGGCAAATGTGATATTTTTTACTTTAAATGATTTTTTTATAATACAGGGCCTTTCAAATTATCTGCCCCCCCTTTAATTTCTAAAGAGCTTTAAATTGGTTTTAAACTAATATGTCTACCCAAATTTTTTTTGTGAATTAGAAATAAAAGAGGGCTAATAATTTGGACTACCCTGTAATTTTAAGTCACAATGGTAAAGCCTGATTTATATAGATTTATAGATTGCCTTCCTTTCTTCCTACCTTCCTCCCGTAAAAGATGAACAATACGAAAAACGTTGTGCTGTTTATAGATTTCCGTACGGGACTACGGTTTTTGTATTGTTCATCTTTTACGGGAAGAAGGAAGGAAGGCAATCTATAATGCATTAATGTGTTTTTTAAAAAGATAATTTTGGTTTCATTATTATAATACAACATTGTTTTTAATCTTTTTATGTATGAGTTCATTATTACATAGTTTTTGTGTGCGATAATTTATTTGAAAATACGATAATTTTATGAGGTTGTCACGATAAATTGCTGAAAACATAGACTTTGATAACCTAATAAAAGAGTTCGCCGATAGAAAGGCTAGAAAAGTGAAATGTTATTAGTTATTTTTAAATAAATGGTTATTTTTATATTCATTGCCTTTTTTCGTATTGAATTGAATTTCAGGTAGGGGCGCCGCAGAAATCTCGCCCAGGGCGCTGGTAGTGCTAAAACCGGCACTGTATAATAATATACTATTATTAAAAATGATTTCTTCTTTCATTAAGTTTTCTTTATACTAAAATATTAAGCATCGAATTTTGTTATTTTATTTTATGTTTCAATGAATAGCAGCTAATTAAGTATTTATTGATACATTAAACTTGAATTTATTTATTTAAAATTTTAGATTTATCTGGTTAGTATATTTGCCTACAGGTATAATTACTATGCTGTACTACAGCAGCTATAGTTTATTTCATCGTCACTGTGACGACGTCACATGAATATTAAATATATTATTCCAGTTATGCTAGGTCTTAAATATGTAAATTTATCAATAAATTTTCAAGTTATTTTTACTTCACAAATAGTGGCATAAAAAATTTGAATATTTCTATTTTAATTAATGTAAATTAATGTAATTAATTTAATTAGAATACATTTATAATAAAAAGACACTTACATCTTTTGTATCCTTAATAATCGTTGAAGAATTGACTATTCGAGGCTGAGGAGTACCGCACTTAAAACCGACCACATATGTATTATGTTCCTTAAATTTCATATAATTATAAGTTGAGGACCGACACAAGCAACAGGATACCAACACTCCAATCAAGAAAAGAACCAAACTGGTATTCATGATGATTTTGTCTTATTAATTCCTATAGATGAGAGCACGTAAGATTTTTTCGATTACTTTTCTGTTCTGATGATGCTCGAAGCGGTCTTGGTTGTGGAGTGGGCCTCAGCGATAAGCTTAACCGGCTTTTATTCTGAATATGACTAACACTTTCAATTGTCACCGCAATATACATTCATATGCATATACATAGCAGATAGGATGGGATTCCCTGAAATGGTAGGCTCATGAAAATTACATTTCTTAATGACGAAATATTGTGCGTTTTTAGTTTTTTCCTGAAACATCATGACATAGATACCTACGCTAGATATTTTATAGTAGATTAAAATAAAACATTATTCTGTATACAGCCTTGTAGCAACACCCTTGCGTGTCTGGGTTCAAAATTATTTCCGTGAGACCCCCTTTAAAATTTTTATCTAGATATGTTCGACCAAAAATCTTATGTTGACGTTTGCCCTTCCCATGCCTAGGCTTTTTTTTAACTTATTAATATGCTATATAATAGTTTAATATGTTTTAAATACAAACTCTGATATAATATTAGATTTTTTATAGTGTATTATGTATAAAGTTTGATAAATGCCATTTTAGTCACGAATTTGGGCACGAGCGAGCTTGCAAGCGAGTGCTTAATTAAATGAGTGCCTAGAAAAGTTTATAAACGAGTTGTATACTATACTTAATACTATCTAAAAAATGATTTAAATTAATTATTTTTATACATCTATACGAAAATAAAGTAACCACCCCAATAAACATTTTTGACGTAATTTTTATCATTAACATTTTTTAATTACTATAATTGCAAAATATTATCACAAAGTATTATTCATTCTTACACAGGAAATGTTAAAAGTATAAAAAGTTTTATTTATATATCTAACTGAAGAATCTACCGGCGTTAAAGTCCTAAATTTTTCTGTGCAAATCAAAATTTATCCTTTAAAAATAGACTAACAATCGATATAGAAGCAGTTTTTCACAGTAAAAGAGAACAGAATGTTTTATGGGCACGGTACGCAAAATTTTTAGTTAATTGCACTACTACTGCGAAATTAAAACGTCAGTACAAATTTTCATATAATCTTTTTAAATATTGGCATCAAGAAACTATTTCATATTTTTATATTTATGTTTTGAGATAATATAATAAGTTTTAAATTTAGTATAATTTTACAAGAAAGACATTTTATTTTAACGATTGTATTACATTTGACAACTGTCAACTTAAAACTAACTTCAGCCCTTGACTTAAAACCTTTTGCTAACTTCGGCCCGTGGCTAAAGCCACAACTTGTCAATGTGTATTTAAAAGGTCACTTAGTGTCCTGGAAACATGTACGACAATTGGCGTTTTTTAAATATTGGCATCAAGAAACTATTTCATATTTTTATATTTATGTTTTGAGATAATATAATAAGTTTTAAATTTAGTATAATTTTACAAGAAAGACATTTTATTTTAACGATTGTATTACATTTGACAACTGTCAACTTAAAACTAACTTCAGCCCTTGACTTAAAACCTTTTGCTAACTTCGGCCCGTGGCTAAAGCCACAACTTGTCAATGTGTATTTAAAAGGTCACTTAGTGTCCTGGAAACATGTACGACAATAAGCGTTTTAAAGAAAAACAAATTTAAACAACATAAATAAACCTATTATAAACTAAAAAAGTTAATATTAAGTAAAAAATAATATTAAAAACTTCAAAAGAAAGGCTAGCCTGTCCATTAAAAGCTGTAAATGCCAGACGGCTTTGGCACATTTCGTAGGTAACCTATCATAGATTTTTATTTATTTCAGTTTTGAGAATGACATCTCTGGTGACTCCACCGTCACAGGAATTTTTATAACATATTTATTTATTTATTTATTTATTTATTTATCATCATCATAATTACATTTTTTGACATTTTTTATTGTACATTCTTATTTTATAAAGTTAAATTATATTTTAAGTTTGATTCTGCCTAAATCCAAAAGGATTTGTGCTGCAGATTATAATAAATGGAAAAAATTATAAATACATTCTTGTGTGATGAACTAAGATTATGTTTTTACTATACAGTGCTACATTTATTTCAATTAAATTTTAAATATTTGTAATACAATAATATTTATTAGGGTGATTTTTTTTTCACGACAATTTTTATTTTTTCGCTCCCAACTCAAAATCTTGTTGAAAATGTTCAAAAAAAAGATTTTCCATTTAAAATACACGTAAACTTTGATTATTTTTTCAAAAAAAGGATTTACTCGTAATCAAAAGTTCTACAAAAATGCTTTATGTGCCATAGCTGTAATTTACACATGTAGGATGGTACGGGTCACTAAATCCTATTTTATTGAAAAATTATCATATTTTTTAAGATATTTCAAAAGTGACTGGATTCTTTGAAAAAATGTAAAGAACAAACTTGTAGAAAATTTAATTTTTTTTTAAAAGGTCCTATCAGTTGAATCGCTAAGATTGATATTTCTTGAGATATAAAGCGTTTACATTGACAATTTATGAAATTTTTAGGATTTTCGTATCAAACTTTGTATAAATGATGATTTTCAATTGTTTATCAGTAAAATTTCATGTAATTACGTTTTTTCTACAGTCGGGTGATTAGAGAAAAATAAATAACTCAAACAATCTAGCATAATTATTAATAACATAACTTTAATGAAAAAAGATATATCTAACCTAAAAATTGATATAACGAGGTGTTGCAAAACACTATGTTCGATGACATTGGCTTGGAGAAAGTGACACAGTCACGTATTAAATGAAATTAAAGGATTATAAAATATGTACCTATATACAGCCCGTTCAGAATAAAACCGAATATATCTATATATATATGGGGCGTGGCCTCGCCTCCCTCCAAGGCGCGTCACAGTTGCTTGTGTGATAAACGACATGACGAAAGGTCGAGCAGGTAAGACGTCTTAAAAAATTAAATGATAATAATGCAAAAAATCTCATTAGCGATGCACTATTTGCTTAGCTACTGTGTCGCGCGTTGGAGGGAGGCGAGGCCACGCCCCATATATATATAGATATATTCGGTTTTATTCTGAACGGGCTGTATATACATATACAAAACTATTTATTATTCATTACCTCAGAAACTTGTAGAATATATTCAGATCAGATGTTTGTATTTATACGTTTATAAACGTTTTTAAATCGGCTTTACGTAGATTTATTGATAAATTTTTAATTTTTTTTGGTATAATATTATACCATTTGGGACCATAATAAAAAATACCTTTTTGTAAGGCTGAAAATTAAATTATAGGTAAATTGACAACATCTTTTTCCAAAATCCTGGTGGAGTAATTATGCTTGGAAATGTCAAAATTATCAATATACTCAAACATCCACAAACAAACTTGAAACACAAAGATTTTTTTAATACAAAGTTGTTCCGTGTACAGGGTGATCCCCTATAATGTCGCCCCCCTTTAACTTTTTTATTTTAAGTGTCCCAAAAAATTTAAAAGTATGGTTATGTAGGAACTAAAAAATACTTTTTTTCTACGTTTAAAGAAAATTGGAAAATTGATCAGTATATATACTGATGTATACAGGGAAAAACAAAAAGTTTATTTTTTTTCAATGGATCACCCTATATATGTATTTATTTTTCGATTCCTTGTAAAATTCTAAGCATATTTCATATAACATACCATATACCTAAACTCAACCGTTTCTGACATATTTAAATTATTTTTAAGATAATAAGTTGAAATAGTTTGTCTTTTTTTTCTGAGTACGCCATTTTTACTTATTAAACAAGACATATTGACATAGTGTCATTATAGTAATTTATTTTCAATAAAAATTTTGGTATACTGAGGCTTCTTGATTTCTAACAGTTTAAAAAAACATTTAATGATAACATTTCGAATGCGAATATTTCAGAAACAGTTGAATTTAGGATATGGTTTGTTATATGAATTATGCTCAGAATTTTACAAGGAATCGAAAAATAAATTCATATATAGGGTGATCCATTGAAAAAAAATACACCTTTTGTTTTTCCCTGTATATTGATCAATTTTTTAATTTTTTTATACGTAGAAAAAAAGTATTTTTTAGTACCTACATAACCACACTTTTAAATTTTTTGGGAGACTTAAAATAAAAAAGTTAAAGGGGGGCGACATTATAGGGGATCACCCTGTACAGTGACTCCGAAGGATGATAGCGGTTTTTAAAATAAATTATTTTGAGAATTATATTTTGAGTTACTTCAAGCCCTTTTAAAGTAGTATCTAACGCATTCCCCCAAGCTATTATGCAGTATCTTATGAAGGACTCCACCATTGCATAGTAACAAAGAATTAGATTTTTATGATTTAAAAAAGACCTCAGTGTGTAAAATTGGAAAAACAGCTTCCTTAGTCTTATATACTATAGTATGAGGTTTTCAATGTGTGCTTTCCATTTTAGATTTTGATTTATAATTAGGCCTAAATATTTAATTTTATTTACTTTAAGAATGTAGGGGCATTTACATTTATTTGTTGGAGTGAATTTGAAAATTTTCTTTCTTAGGTTGTCCTGCATTTGTCAAGCTAAACGTTATAAATTTTGTTTTATTAATATTAAGGCTAAGAAGGCTGCTGTCTAACCATTTTTTATCCTTCTCATGCCTTCCTTAGCAAAGTTAAATGTTTCATCCCACGTGTGACCACAAAATACTGCCGCTGTATCATCCGCATAAGATATAAGATTATCTTTTAGATTGTCAATGTCATACAGGAAATTTATATAAATAGAAAATAGAATAGGACCAAGGACTGTCCCTTGTGGTACGCCTATATTTAATAATATTGTGTCACTGTATGTTTCATTAATTTTTACCTTTTGTTGTCTATCCATTAGGTAATTTTTTAATAGTTTATTTGTTTCACCTCTTATCCCTACACTGAGAAAAAAGTTTATTGCTCCCAAATAAAAAAAATATTTAAATATGGGACAAGGGTTCAGTTTATTTATCCTAAATATATTTTTATTCTCGACACATAAAGTTTTACTAAAGTATATTTATCGTTATTATTTCGACTATTTAGAGGTAATAAACAATATATTCACTATTAATAAAAGTATTAGCTACACAGTTTATTTGTCCCATTTTTTTCTCAGTGTATGTTAGACAATCTATGAAGCAGTATTTCATGGTCGACAGTGTCAAATGCTTTGGCTA